CTTCTACCACATCTGCTCGGTTCTAGTGTAGAAGCCGTAACCAGTGAAAACAAATACCTGCCAGCGATGACATTAGTTAGTGCCGTTTGAGCTATATCATGCGTGAATTGGCACAAGTTGGAATTCATAGGCCAGTTGCCATTAGGTTGGTGTGTCCCACTGGCCTAATGGTCTATGAGCTCACTCGCTTTGTAACCGGGAGCCTCTGGGTTGGAATGCCTTACAGTAAGGCGGATGCGTACTTCTGAAGAGTCCGAAGCTAGGCTGATGAAACATCTGTCTGGCAAGACTTGAAAGCTGGTTTCCAATGGTTTTGTAACAGACATTAGTTAATGATGGAATCCTGAAACCCGTCAGTTTTGTGTTGTATTATGGGATTCACTTTTATGATAAGTTATTAATCTGTCGTATGAAAGCTTGAGACCACTGAATGATCAGCACATTTTGAGATTAATTGAAGCTGTACAGATATCTACGTTGATCAGTTCAAACAGATCTTGTAAGAATATTCATATTAAATTTTTACAGCTCATTTGTAGTGAAGCCGGTCACTTGAAAAAATGGATTTCGGTAGACATCACCACTTTTTTTGGATCAGTGGTCTTGGATGTAAGCGACAGTCTGTCAAAATGCCTTTTAGCAATGTATGGGCTTAAATTCGTGTCAAAACACTGTAAAGTAATGTCATCTTACAAATTGTGAAGACCTAGACAATTTAGGTACTGGTGAGAATATCCCATAAATTCAGATTATTCACAAGTATATACATCCCTTCAGCTACCTGTTGATGGATGTGTAAATAACTGGACCAGTCTTCTACGCAGTTGCAGTCACCAATTTGTATGAGCCACCAATCAACCAGTGAAAGCAGAATTACAGAGAGAGAGGTAGTCTGAAGGTGACAGATTGCACAGCGACTCAGCAAGTATCCACTGATGGTTCTCTAATACGAAAATTACTCAAAATGGGTGAGAGGTATTGGAATAGGTGATATATTATGACTCACTATTTACGTGACCTGTAAATCAAATATTCAAACCTTGGGTCTTGGGTAGATTAGGGTCAGGTCGGTGGATTTTAATCGCTACTCGCTAATCAGTTAAAACATATTTTTTCATATCTTCTACTAGTAATATAATGACTATAAAAAAGGCTATATATATAGCTGTAATCTTTGATGGAAGTAAATCTTGCCTTCTCAGTCAGTCTTCAATTTCACCTCAGAATGGCTGTCACAGAGGTCAAGCCTAAATATTGAAACAAGTAGGCGTTAAGTATTAGAATACTCCTAACTTTTTTCGTATAGTTTTCTTCGCCTCAATTTTCCAGGAGTTTGTACCTAAGCTCTTTTTCAATAACTGTGTATATACTTTATTTTTATCATTCCTTTGTGTTTCCAGTAGAACACAGGGCTTCAACAACATACCTACACTATGTTCTCTTTTCTGCCGTCCTTATTTTTTATTTTTTTTATTTTATTTTTGATTACAGCTTGATTCCACACTGTATTTTTGGTACAAGTATGGAATTTTCAGCGTGGATGTCGGTAGCCCAAATTTTTCAGGCCAACCATAGATATCAGGGGTATGCGTCGGCGAGTGCTCGAACCTCAGACCATGTGCATGGTCGGCGAAAGTCCTAACCACTGTGTCCTCCGTAGGTGGGCCCACGATTGACCAAACTCTGTCATCTCTTCCTCACATGATCTCCTTCATGTCACTCTAGTATGTGACTCACTCGTCGCTTATCATTTAAATTCCACTGAAGAAATGGCCTGGCGTGCGATGTGATTCGACGGCTTCCAGAATGTATGCTCTATCCGTCTCCATTTTCTTCGTCATATTTCTTGAGTGATCGTCTCCTGGTTGGTTTGTTCCCGTAGTTTCTTGTTGCTTATTCTTTCTGGTCATTTGATCTTCAGCATGGGGCGGAGGCAGCTGTTGCTGAGTGTCTACAACCTGTTGGAAATCGTTTTCATGACACGCCAAGTTTCTGATCCGTATAGAAGAACCAAATCAAATCGGTGTTGAAAATGCGAATCTTATTCCTTATGCTGAGTGCAGACGATTTCCAAATCGATTTGAGATTGGTGAAGGCGTATCCGATTCTGACTTCTATATCTTTGTCCTTTCCGCCTGTAGATGAAACGATGCTTCTTATATAGGTGAAAGAGGCAACCTATGTCCAGTCTCTTTTGCTGATGGTGATTGGTGCTGGTTGTTGTTGCTGTTAATTGATTATCTTCGTCACCACCGTCTTCTCTGTGTTCACCTAGAGTCCTGTTTTTGCTGCCTTTTCAACCAGTTTGTTGTTTTTCACTTGCAAGTCTTCGAGGTTTTGGAATACAAATCTTCCAGGGTTTTCTTATCTGTCGTCCAGTGTATTCCTGACTCCTCGCCCCTAACAGATGACTGTGTATAGCATTCCATAATTCTGGTTTATGATTTTGTATTCAAAAAGCTTTCATAATGCTTCTGATTAGAGAGGTTTCATCGACAGAATCAAACATTAGTTCTGGGACACTTCGGAGACAAGGGCGTACTAAAAAGGTGTTTGATTCTCACCATAGACACTATTCAGCCGACTGAGTTCTTAATTGTTACGTCAAGACCATCAGCATACATGGTGAGGAAGCCACTGGTCACGTGATCAGTTGGAATCCACCTGTGAATAATTGGTGAATCCTGGCAACCTGAGATGCATCACATATCGTGATCTTGAGTAACCCAAATGTCTTTAACTTATTCTTTAGTATAGTTGTGAGTGCACACTTTTGAGACTTTCAAAATGAATGGAATGTTGGTACTTTTTGTCTATCAATTTAGTTGAATTATTTAGAATATCCCGATTAGGTTTGCTTAGTGTTACTCGAAGTAGCCTCTGTCTAAAAATTCACCTCCAGGTTAAATTGTATTGATCTCTTATTTCGGAGAGCAAAATTGATATTCTTTTTTCCCGGACATACAATTCTGTTAAATACCCACGCTACTGGTTTCTGGTTGATTTAAAACTTTTCGAGAAAAAGTAGTCTTGGGCAGATCATTCGATATTTCCCTAGGCAAACAAATATCATTACTGCCTTACAAAGCTACTAAATTCCAATTGATTCTATATTTATTTACCTTAAGCGCACATTATTAATAGTTATCATTATTCTCTTGGGTTCCAAGTGGAACGTTGGGCTTCAACAACACATCACCACTTTCTTCGATTTCTTGCTGTCCTCTTCAGGTGGCTGCGCCCACGACTTCCCACAATTTTTTATCTACTCCTCTCCTAACGACTACTTCAATGTCACCCCGGGGCCTAACAGATAACTCTGATGGTCTGCATTGAGCGCAGTGTCATTCGTCAGTCTTCTCCGTAGCGTATGCCTAATCCATCTCCATTCTCCTCTATATATTTGTTGAGCCATCGGCTTTTGGTTTGTTCGTCACCAGAGGTTCTTGTTTCTAATTCTTTCTGACCAACCTGCCACTCGATCTTCAATATAAAGCCAGAGAATAAAGCTATTGATAAAATTCTGTACCTGACCGTTGGAAATCCTTTTTGTGACTCACCCGCAGTGCAGCCTTTTGACCGATATAGAAAGACTGACTGACTGACTGATTGACTTCACAGTTATGTCGAAAATCCTAATCCTGGCTGAGTGAAGCAGAATATTTCCAAAATGGTTTTAGATTGGTGAAGGTGTATTTTGCCTCTTCAATTCTGGCCGGCTTCGACAGCTCCATCTGTGCCGTTTGACTTCCTGTGGTTGAAATATTGTTCCTGTTCAGTTAAGTGAAGAAAGTAACCTGTGTCAAACCTCTCTCGCTGATAGTGATTGGTACTGGTTGTTGTCGTTTTCGCTGTTATTGTGTAGGTATCTTCATCACCTCCGTCTTTTCTATATTTACCTGGAATCATGTGGTTTCACTGCACTGTTGCCTCAATCAGTTTGTTTGTTTTCCCCTGCAAGTCTCCGAGTTTATGTGACACTAAACATAAGTCATACACACGCGAAATCCAAATCTTCTAGAGTCTTCATATCGGTCAGTGCAGCGTATTCCTGTCTTCTCACTCTGCCCCCCCCCCACACAGTCTGATGCGTGATCCAGTCCACTGCAATTAGAAATATCATCGTGGGAGATAATAAGCAACCAGCACTCCCCTACTTCTGAAGCCATTTCAAAAGACCTCCCTGAGCTTTTCCCCGTGTACTACCAAGTGTGGAACATTGTCATATAGCCGACTGTTGAATGAGGTTGATAAATATTTGAGGTACTGAACGCCACAGTGTTGAAGTAATTTCTAAATTATTTCTCAGTCCATGGTATTGAAGGCCTTTTCAAAGTCAGAGAAGTCTAGGTAGGGAGATTTGTGATTGCCATTCTATTCTTTATTCGATTGTGATGATGATGATGTATAGAGTTGCAATTCGATTAGCGCATGATTTACCTTTCCGGAATCCAGCTTGTTCTGGTGGTTGGCGGAGTTCTGCATTCATTGCATCTTTTTTTCTCTCCAGGATGATGCAACTTAGCGTTTTACTTGGCGTGGACAGGAGCATTATTCCAGGCCAATGGTTGCAGAAGCATAGGTCGCCCTTGTCTGGTAACTTGACAAAGTGACCAGCCTTTCTCCCAGGCAGTAGGCATCTTTCCTTCCTTTCAAACCTTTTTCAATAATGCCTTTAACATATATGTCACCTCACCTAGTTTACTAGCTCACTAGTTTTCCAGCCAGTTCCAAGCCCGGGAAATGTGGGACAGTTGCACGTGGGGTTAACGATCCTACGCCAGAAAAACAGTCAAACCGCAGAAAAAAAACTTCAACGCAAAAGAAAAATGTTAAAAAACAATTAAGTGTTTATGCATAAATGTCATTAATAAGGAATGATTTTTAAAAATACCCTGTTGAATACATTTGATAACTGCTCATGTAAAGCTTCAAAATTAACACTTCTTGCCTTATCACATCCTACATCTTCATTTTCTTTTCTTCAAATATTCTTCTAGTGAACGTATTCTGTCAACGACATTTATTAGAAATATGCCTCTCACCGATCAGTCAACCACCATACCAGAATTTAGCTGAAAATCTACACCTACGTCGATCTGTTGCATTTGTAACCAATTTGACATTTCATCAAAATTTCATTGATACATGCAGACTAGATGTTAAACTGAACAGTTTACAAGGCAAACAATGGAACCATACATCCGTAAATCCTATGAGAACTGAACAACAACAACAACACCAGGTACTGTGTAAAACTATCGATTGGAGACAAGATCCTACAACAACTCCATGCGGTATAAGTATTACAGAATACATGGTAAGTGAAAACAGTTCTCACAACTTTTTTTCAACACTCCTCTATTTATTTTTTCTTACTGAGAGGAGAAATGTCCTCAAATATGTTGTTGACATCCATGACCTGAAAGAAATTTCACTTCTGTTCAAAATGTTATACATCAGTAAATAAATTAATAAACATAAGTAAATATAATTTAACGCGTTAATTATTTAGATTCGATTTAAACACCTTAATTTGTGATACAATTAAACTAATTTGCATAGATAATAAGCGAATCTCTGTGATTAGTTCATCAGCGGCGTAGAAGTACAAAATGATAAATCCTAAATATGTTGTTTTTATTAAATAATCTACTGAAATTGAAAGTCAATCTGAACGAAGAATATTCTTTTCAATAATTTCTCCTCTTCAGGTTCTTACAATTATAAAATAGAATATTTTTTGTCGTTATAATGAAAGCTAGTTGTACGGCATATACATTTTTAACGTACAATAACAGATTAGTTATGGGCAGGTTCGAGAATATTTGCCAGCTTAGTTCAGCAGGGGAGAAACGAAGTGCATAAAAAAAAACTCGATCCTGACACACTTGGTCGATACTGGATATCGTATCGATGTCAATACAGCTTCCAGGGTTATATAACGAATTCCGAAGTCGTTATCACGTACACTTCGCTTACGTCTCCTACACAGAGCTGAAGCTGTTGCAATAAGATCGACTTAACCGGAACTTTGTATCCAAAAAGAACACGTCCAGACACTGTTCCTACCGTGGCCGAACTTGGATTGATGATTCTTCTTCTCACCAAGAGTGCTGCTTCCCCTTAACCCTCTTGGTTTTTTTCGTTTTGTTATTATTACAATTATTATTATTATTATTCGTCATAATTTATGCCCTTCATGCAAACATTCTCTCAATACTATAGAATTTTTCATTGATACTATACGGACTTATTATTAGTGATATTATCTCTTTTCTCAATATATGCCTCCATCTGTTTCATTTCACACATCAGTTATTTCATTATGAACCTCTCCTTGCAGTCTTACTAACTTCTGTTTAACACAGACCACTTTGTACTAGCCACTCACCTGACACCTTCTATAACCTTGAACTGACTTGTCAGTTTTCCTACCCCAAACTCTACAAATCTATTATGATTAATCACCACCATTGTCTCCCGTTTTACAATATTTTGTTAATCGATTTCAGCCTAGCACGTTTGTCTCACAAATACGACTATTTATGTAGACACCCGATAACTAATCTGTTATTGTAGGTTAAAAAGTATCCGCCGTACAACTAGCCTTCATTATAACGACAAAAAATATTCTATTTTATAACTGTGGGAACCTGAAGAGGAGAAGGGTGTATTGAAAAGAATATTCTTCGTTCAGATTGACTCTTAATTCATAATATGGGAATATTTCACACTATAAAATCGACTGAAATCCCCGTTAGTAGTATTAAAGACCTATAGGTGAGAAATTTCCATTTCATTCGAATTCATTCTTTGTTATTCTTGTTACGGAATTATTGAGAAGATGGTTAAAACGAAGAAAATTCTCTTTTAGGAGAAGTCATCAGCTAGTAGTAAATGTGTGCGAAAGTTCCAGGACAGTTTCAGGTCAAAAGTCAAATGGAAAATTGATACAGAAGTAGAACTTCTGCGTAGACGGCTTTCGAAGTCTCTAAGTAAAACACACTGTGCCTACGCGCCAACCTATGAGTAACATTTGCCTACAAGAAACTATTCAACCAGTGTGTGAAAGACAAGCTGTCGTTTTGGGCCACTTCGCCATCCACATATCAGTTCACTGGCTTTTGTGAAACCGAGTAAATTGGCCACACGTAACATGTGACCACTTGTAAAACGCGCTAGGGAACACTATCCAGCATGACTAGCAAAGTGACAATGAAACGGTGCATACAGTTCAATGACAGAACATCTGGTGTATTCAGGACTTTCAGTCCCATTTCAAAAATCCATCAAAGCCATATACAGAATTCGATCAAATCTCTCTCGCAAAGAGAGTGAAATCAAGGCATCCGGTTGTGAATAGCTGAGACAATGGTGATCTGAAAGCTGAAGTCGATGCTAAGTGTTAAAATAAATACATCCAACCGTTGTCGTTATCGTGGTCATAATGAAAAGTCAGTCTCATCAATGACGATTATCCTATTACCATCTTTCATATCCAACTTTCCTGTTTATACCTGTTACTTTTACGTTTTTAATTCCTGTCTGCATTACTGCATTTGATTGTTGTTGTTTTTTTGTGTATGTCTGAACTTCCTACCTATTTTGTTATTACTACGTCCTTAATCTGTAATTTGTACCAACAGTCAAGGTTACCGATAATTATGATCTTATTATGCCTTTATTATTAATAATAATTCTGGAACTTTCTCACTCATTCGCTGATATAAATACACGAATGTACAGCCTAGTTGATGACTTCGCCGAAAAAAAAATATTCTAGTGTTGGTTCATAGGGATTTGATTGATTGGTTACAGGATTTCATCATGAGCTGACATTGGTTAGAGAACTATTGGAAAGCCTGGAAGTACTGGACAACTATCTGTTTCGTCCTAGTTTGAAACTTTTCATCAGTATGCACCCAAAGACAGGGTTAAGACCCAGGACCTCTTGGTTTCAAAGCGACCTCGTATACCATTAAGCCCCTGGAACTCTATCCAATGGCCCATGAATTCTAACTTCTACCAATTCACGACATAGCGCAACCCCTAGCCAATGTCTCTTTAGTTAAATCAGCTTGAAAGGAAATGTGGAAAAACGATAACCAATAAAATGAATATCAGAGGGTCTTTTCCGGTGTTTCCTCTGCTAGGGAGAGATAATTAGGGGTGTTTTTTTAATCCAAAGTTGGCAGTGTTTTGGAAGTCGAATATCATAATTAGTTGAAAAGTCGTTAGCTTTGATTTTACACCAGCCGACTTCACAGAGTCGAAAAGCCCTAACCCTATTGAAACCTGAATTAATTAGCCTTGAATAACACACCTTATTATTACTATTATCGCGAAACAATTATCTATTCGGCTTTGACCACAAGCGAATATCAGTTAGACAACCATTGGAAGACTAGGGAGTACTGGACAGCTATTACATCCTAGTTTAGGAATCTTAAAGAATACACACACCCAGCAGGATTCGAACCAAGGATCTATGATACAATTGGTGGATGGTGGCTAGCAGTGGAATCCAGGATGCGCATTTCGTCCTATTTGGGACTCGTCAGCTGGATGTACCTGCGTTTCTCAGTGAGTGATGACGTTCCCACCGAAGCTCGAACCCAGTACCCATAGTTTCAAACGCCAAATAGGACGAAATGCGCATCCTGGATTCCACTGCTAGCCACCATCCACCAATTGTATACTAATTAAATGCCCAGACATCGTCGAAGCATCTGCACAAGAAGCCGACATGTCAACCTGAGACCGAGCACTTCGGTCCAAACAATCGACGGGAAAATCAAAACTTCAATTCAACAAGGATCTATGAGTTACAAAGTGAGCTCGTAGACTGGTACCAGCTCGTGGCCAGACCTGTTACCAATCAAATCCCTGCGGACCATCATTTAAAAAAATTAATCTGATGCTCACTAGTTAGTGGCTCCTTACGTGAAGTTATGTGGAGTTTTACTGAGAAGTTTTAGCCACTGGAGTCCACCAAGTATGGCGAGAAGACAATCACTAGCCCATGATATTGGCTGTGGTCTGCGTTATTCATATATATATATATATATATATTATGAATTGGCAGAAGCTGGAATTCACGAGCCATCGGATCAGCTTCCAGTGGTTAAATATTCTACGAGATTTCCCTCTTACTGGAGAGTCCTCAGTAAATGAGCACTACTGAATGGCCGAGTACTCTGTGGTCTTCCAGTGGTTCTCTTATTGACGTCAACTAGTAATCAAGTCTGTGATCAACAAAGCCCCTGCAAAAAATCAACACCTGGGATTATCCACCCCACTTTATGTACCATGTGACTCTAATCAGTGTTTAAACCGGATTTCAGCTGTTCCTTATGAATAAAGAAGTATGAGATAAGGAATATTGTCTGCAAGCAATCTCCTGTCTAAAAAGGTCTCTGTCAACCGAATAAGCTGATTTTTAAATCAGTATTTCAAGGGATCTACTTTTACTATATATATATATATGATTTTATTTTATTCTAATTTCATGAAAATAATTTCAACGTGTTTTTTTCTCCAGCCAGAAGGTTAGAAAAACTTAATCCTTATCTACAATTTCTAATCTCCACGTTACTTTTTACTGAAAAGGAAAAATTCGATATCATGGGGTTTGTTTTCGTGCCACTGACTGATTGTTTAGCGCCTGATTTAATGGAAAAGTAACGACTGTGTACATCAATGCATTCTAAAATAATAGGTAACACATGTTTTGATATATGTGTGTAAAATATGGGCACTTTGATAATAAGTAGTTCCATATCAATTGGTTTATTAGATGGATACCTCACACAGTGAAACAGTATAACAGCTATAGGACTACTAAGTTTCAAACATAATTTATTGTTATACAATTGGTCATAATCATATAAATTACAGTTGAACGGCTTCAAAACTATCGTTTTATAGTTTTCTCTATTCTTCTCTATTCGTTGTCGTACGGGGAGTAGAATTTTCCAGATATCCGAGTGAACAGGTGTTGAACCATTCCTATTACACGTATTCTCTTCAGTTGATTCGATCAACAAAGCTTTCGTTACAGGATTTCATGATGAGCTGACGTTAGTTAGAGAATCATTGGAAAACCTGGGAGTACTGGACAGCTGTTTCGTCCTTGTACGCACCCACCGGGATTCGACCCCAGGAGACTAGCGACTTAACCTATTCTTCCTACACCCTGTGATATTAGATTTTAAAACTGTCCGTCATCTTATCTCATACTATTGTATGGTTGGTTATGCGTAATTGCATGTAGTGAGTGCTATAGCTAAACTAACTATACTCCTGATTTCTTATCGTATTTGGATCAACTAATCTAGATTTTTCTGCTAGGTATTTGTGCTCAACTAGTCCGACTGAGTGATCCTGTTCTACTACTTTCAACTATGTATTTGACTTGTCAGTTATTTAAGGCAAACTATTAGATAAACTAAATTGTTTTGTTTTAAAGGCTCCACAGGATAGATCCTATGACCAACAAAGCTTCTTTCTAATTGAGTTTGTGCGCAGTTTGAATACCAACCACTTTTATTCCTCCCTGTATTGTTAAGAATTCTGTTTAAGGTAGTTTCCGAGGTTCCTTCCCTGTATGAAATTAGTACTGATGATTTCAATTCCGTACTTTTAGTGTTGTCATTATTCTGTGAGTGTTTGACATGCATGTCGTCATTAATATTATTATTATCACTATTATTACTCTTAATATTATCTTTACATTTTCCTACATAGTTCCTGATTAATTTATCAGGGCGATGGTCAAGTTTCAAAGCTTCTGTTCTATACCTCACGTCCTGTCTTAGATTTTCCTTGCTCAAAACGTGGTCATCAGTTAATATTACTGTGTAACACTGTGTGACTTGCTAAAATAAAACCTTATCCATAATGGATGCACAGGAGCAGTCAAATTGATAGTTACACATATAAAAGGCGAAATTACATAGTTTATCTTTAACCTCTGCCGAACACGAAGTAGAGGTGGTTTTGAAGAGACAACATTCTTCAGCAGAACTGAACAAGGCCTTCCTTCTTCTTCAAAACTGTTAGTACTTTGACCTGCCTTGACTTTTCATTGGTATTCTTATTGATGAATTTTTCTGGGTAACAATTTGACTTGGCGCTTAAATTATTCCAGGAAATTTGTAACATTTAAGGTCTAACTATTTTTAGTTTTTTTGCTTAGTCTATATAACTATTACTCGTACTTTTCACTCACTTTTCACTGACCTATTAGAGAATAGTGAGTTAGATAACACTGAGCCGAAGAATAGCCTACAAATTCTAAGATAATATGGAACATGCAACTTAAACATTTCGCTAAGACAGGAACAACAACGCCACCAAGTACTGATCACCTCTTTCACGTACCCGGCTGGAGAGATTCAGTCCAACTACAGGTCGAATATGCGTCGGTGGCAGGGCGGTAGAATGCTCGTCAACCAAGCATATGGTTCGCGGTTCAATCCTCGCCCAACTCACTCCTTTATCTCGCAAAGCCAGGTTGGGCATGAGGCCAACAACCTCATCACGTAAAAATAAAAACACCGCTGCTACCGAAACTTCAAATCTCTACCATCAAGTCCTATGTTCCACTGGGAACGCAAAGGAATAAAAAGTGGTGGAACAAATGAGAATGTAAAAGGAGGCCAGGATCAAAACATCAAGAGGGAGCTTCCCTACTCTTAAATCAGTGTTTAAATCTACTGCATTCAGCATAGGGAAAAAAGTTCGAATCTTCGACATCAATGTAATGCCAATACCTTTGCATAATTCAGAAACTTTAGCACCTCACTAGTCAAAAACATTTTCACCAGTCTACTGAAGACTTTCGTGAACAGCTGCCTTCATATGAGGCAGGTCAGAAAGCATAAACATCAATGAATCAGCCAAGAATCTATTGCTGAACAAATATGTCCAAGGAAACCGGTTGAAATGGACTGTATATACTCTGAGAAGGTCGTTGAGTAGAGCATCAATGGAAAACGAATAGTGGGTTAGAAGTTCGACTGTGACTTGAAGAAGACGTTATGAAAGGGAATAAAAAGCCAGTAGGTAATCACAGAACCAGCTAAAAGAGACAACGGCAAACGAAGCGAAATGTAGATATACTGACAACACAAGGGGATATGAACACATAAACATGTTGAAAATATACAAGGCTAGGACGAGCGTGGATAATATAATTATAATTAGAAGGAATATATATATATATATATATCATTACCCAAATATTCGCTCCGTATTATATTGTCAGTCAGTTGATAACAACAGAGCTCTATTCTTTTCCTCCACTTATTTATTGAGTTATATTTCTTTCTCTATGATCAACCTTTCGCATCCAGAAACTAATTAACAATATGAATGCGGCTGTCTATTATAGGAATATAACTAAAATTAATTGTGCATAATTCTGTTTTGAAGTGATGAAAAGAATGAATGAATATTGTTCATGTAGGTTTTATTAGAAAATTATCAGTGTGGATTTTAGGAAATTTTTTTATTCGTTAACTGTTGACTAGGATACATTAGTTTCCACAATTTAGCTTTTCTCCAACCTGATCTTATTTCAGCTAACATTGCTCTTTGAGCAGGGCATGCGTAACACGTGTCCTAGCCATCCCTCACAATCTACGTAACTGCACCTCCAACTCACCTAACACTCGACCAAAGCCTAACCTCAATATTAGGGAAGCGGTCAACACGCTGCATTAGCCACTTCACTCCCTTCTTTCTTAAAGCTAGGAATGAATCGATATAGTTTATTCCAGTCCTGTATCGTCATCTTACATTTGAATGCAGTGAATCACATGCCAAGCATTCGAAGATTATTTCTCCTCTTGGTGTTCAGAAGACTTTGCTCTATTTTGTCAGCGTCTTCGCCTGGAAGAACTATATGACCTGCATATTCTAAGCAAACAATACTGCTAGTCTCTGATGGTGACAAGTAATTCCCTGAGTCGATGAAGTCGGTTAGGGTTAATTCCATTAGCATATCCATCTATGAAGTTAAAAAGAATTGGGGACATAGGGGATCCCTGATGGATACCACTGGTTTTCACCACTGCAGATGAAAACTCTCTGTAAGCCCTAGCCTTGTTGGCTGCAATGTATTTCCTCGCCATTCCTTTCACAGGTAAACATCGCCGTAGTACCTCTTGGTCAACTGAATCGAAATATATGTAGAATATGTGAAAATATGTAAATCTAAGGACGTCAGTAAAGGTGCCTTTATATCAGGATCTGGTGAAAGGTGAAGATATGATCAACACATCATTTTTCTGATCTAAAACCTGCCTGGTTCTCTTGTGGTGTTCGCCCAGAGCAACGCTTAGTCTATGCATGATGATTGAACCTAGAACTTTAGATACTATACTGGTAAAGCTAATCCCCCTGTAATTATCATAAGAAGAATTGTCTCCTCTCTTGAACACTGGGATAATCAATGACTTATACCAGGCCAGCGGGACTTTCTCTGATTCCCAGACGCTGCCTAATACTTTAGTTAACGCAGACAGTTAACTGTCTCCACCGTCCTTACACACCCCAGGAATCATTCCATCAGATTCCGGCTGCATTTCCTCATTTCAGACTAGTGACAGTTTTTGTAATCTCATTTGGAGATGGAGGATCTGTGTTTATATCCCAATCAACGAGGTGTTGGATACTGGGTAAGTTGAGCATGGCTTTAGGCCTGTTAAATTGCTCCTCAAGGTGTTCTTTCCAACGTCCCAGTCATCTATCTCAAGAGCTATATATGATGCCACTTTTCTCGGAAATTGTTTCACTTATCATTTGTCATCTGTCACCTGTTTCCCTCATAAGTCTTAATAATTGTCTGGTGGTACCTATCATCGATGCATTTTCCAGCTCTTTCGCTTTTGCTGCCCACTATTGTTCCCCGTCGTTGCAAAGACTTCTTGTTAGTTTGTGCTTGAGTAGCTTTCACTCCTCATCATATTGGGAGATTGCATGAATCAGTCCCCACGCATTAATCAGTTTGCATGAATCTGTCGTCAAAATATTACCACTACCACAGTAAGTGAATGTTTCACCATTAAAGATCCAGTTTCTCACGGTTACAAATAATAATAACATGACTATTGTTTATCTGTGTTTTACTGATATAACTGGTGAGTTTATACAGCTCTTCGTCTATTATTTAATACAAAAGCGAAAAAAATAATTAAAACGATAAAAATGTATTGGTTACAAGATTCTATCATGAGTTGACATCAGTCAGAGAATCAATGGAAAACCACCACTCGAGTACCGCACAGACAGTCGTTTCGTCAGCTTACTCTAGGACTCTTTAGCTGCACCAACCCTGCCCACTACCAGTCTCGTACACCAAGACTACCTTCTGGTACTAGGCCATCCTTCACATGGACCATTCAGCCACTGAGACGCGATCCTATGTCTGCCAACCCATGAATTCCAAATTTTGCCAATTCACACACGACAAAACGTGACTGGCACTAGCCAGTGTCATCGGTGGCGAGTATTTCTCCTCACTCCGAACCTGTTGCACTTCATTGCTCACAGATGGTCAATAGTGAAGATTCCTAATCTACCCTGACAAAAAAGCTGACTGTCCAATACTCGGTTGATGGTTTTCCTATGGTTCTCTAACCGATGTCAACTCATCATTAACTCCTGTAACCAATCAAATCCCTGCAAACCAGTTCTTGAAAAAAAATGTCATGTTCCTGGGTCTCCAAAGTTTAACAGCCAAATAGATGAAAGCCGGTAACAAGCCGACACACACACACAAGCACGCCTGTGTATACACGTAAGTGAGAAATCAAAACTCTAATCCTCTTTTTTACAGTACAGGTCATTTTTGACTGTAGTGAATAACAATAAACCTGTTTTGAAATAATACACAAATATATCATATATAAAAAACCTACAAATTTTGACATACGTTTTTTTTTAATAGAGTGGACACTTATACACTGGTTATCTTGCTGTTATCACAAGTCACGAACACCGTAACCAAGAGTCTGATCTGCTATTTCAATTCACCTGTAAAACAAACAATGATGTACCACATCGAGTACCAGGACAGGTTTTTGAAAGGTTAGTAATTCATATACAATATGTGTATGTAGAAATTCTTCACCCATAAAGTGTCTGTTTACATTTCAGTTTTGTGCTGATTTTATTTGATAAGTCACAGTCTGACTATTTAATTCACTTATGAGCACTGAGTTCGAGCCCTGGGGGAGGGGAACACCATGACTCACTTTTTAATGGATGTACATCCAGATGACGAGGCTGTCCCAAATAGGACGAAATGCGCTTAATCCTGGATTCTACTGTAAGTCATTATCCACCAACTGAAGAACTATCCTTTCAACTTGCTATTACTTCCGATTGAATTTAGTCTTACCAGTTTGCTGATTAAAAGACACTTCATACCTTGAAAATCCTCATTGAGTTCTTTGAAGCGTAACTCTCTTCGGCGATTCCATTCTCAAGCTGTACAATCGCATACATAAAGAGTACATTTTATCGACAACATGTAAATTGCCGCCATTTCTGCTTCTGCTAAGCTGGAAGGAGTTTGATTCGCACCATTTAAGCAAGACTCTCACGTATTCTGTAGATAACTGTGAGTTAGCTTGGTGTCCTGATATGATCGATCAGGTGTTTGAGAAGGGCATCGTTTTTCCCCTTTATAAAACCATTAATGTGGGTAAGTGTTTTCGATGATACGTTTGGATAGCGAATCCTAGGTACGACCGACATACTTAACTCCACATGTGGAGCAGGTGAATTTGTAGATGCATATCGAAGACAACCAATATTGGCAGCCTATCCTTCACACTCACCCGAATCGTTGATTTAGGAGGTATAGGAATTCAACGTTCAACCGCGAAGAAGGTTTTCTTTAGTAGAATAGGACATGTGGGTTGCAGCCATTGATTCTGCTCTGTCTGTCGATGGAATCTTAAATGTATCATTTTCTTCAACCACCCACCCACCCCCTGGTTAACTCTTTACCTTTTTATTACCACTCCCACTAACTTGATTCTCCTTCAGTTTTAGTTGTACTACCCTCAACCCTGTCAGTCACATTATGTTATTCAATTAGCATATTAAGGTCTTGCTTCAGTTTTCACCCAATTAACTCTTTCTACATAACGTAATTTGTTATGTAAAATCGATAATTCTAATTACACATATCTGGAAATAATCCCTCTATATAGGCAGCTGTAGAGCTTGAGAATGTTACTACAGAAAGGGGTAACTCTTCACTGAACGCCCGTTCTTTTTATATCTCCAAAGAGTTGAAAACGTTTTAAGTCTTTTATTGAACTGTGTAAATAATGTCATCATCATTATTAGAACTAAGAAAACGAGAATCTGATATAATGAAAAAATGAACATATTTGTGGGATAATACAAGGGTTTGACAAGTCGCTCAATAACATACTGCAGTATTGTCTGAAGACCAAATATTGTTACTATTACTGTTTTCTTTAATTCTTAGAGGAACATAAGGCTTCAGCCTCGTGTCTCCATTGCGTTCGTTTCTCTGTCAACGAGCTCCCCTGGCTCCACGTCTGGACATATGATTTCATCTCCTCTTCACATGACCTCCTCCATATCAGCCTCGCACTGACGACCAACTTACTCGCCGCGTCTCATTCAGGTTCCACCAGAGCAAAGGCCTGGTGCTTGATGTCACTCACCTGATGGCTTTCTCAGAGTTTGGCCAATCCACCTCCATTTCTTCCTACATATTTGTTGTACAACTGGTTCCTTCTGGGTTGGTTCGTTCATTGCCAGAGATCCCTGTGTTGGCGACCTTTTCTGGCCAGTCATCTGAACTTGGGTATTGAGCAAAGACAGCTGCTGATGAAAGTCTGTAGTGTGTTTGAGGTGCTCTTCATGACACACCAAGTATCTGGTGCGTATAGTAAGTAACACTGACTTACATAGGAGTTACTAATCAGGATCTTATTTTCATTTTCATGTTGAGTAGTGCTGTTGGTCTCCTGTAGTTGAAACGATGCTTCCCAGGTAGGTGAGTGGGTGAAGCAGGTTGCTTCTTTCACATTTCTCCCATCTGCGCTGATTATTGTCTGTTGTTGTTGATGTTAGCCTGTAATCTTCATCACCTACCTCTGTTTTCGCTATGTTCACCTTAAGTCCCAACTTTGTTGCCTCTTCTATCGTCAACTACTTGCTTTTCACTTGCATATCTTCAGTTTGTGCGAAATCAGACATATATCATTGGCGAAGTCCAGATCCTACAGGTTTCTCGTGTGGGTCCATTTCACGCCTGCCTCCTCGTTGCCCGCTGTCTGTTACATTATCTAATCTACTGATATCAAGAAAATCATTGGAGGTAGTAGACAGCCAGCCAGCCATGTCTTACTCCCATCTTAACTCCTTCGAATGATTCCGTGAGTTTCCCATTGTGGATTATGTGGCATTCAGCAGTGTCGTACAACTGTTGGATGAGGTGTATAACTGTTGGCTGCACCCCGTAGTAGTGAAGTAGTTTCCAAATAGCCACTCAATAGACGAAGCCGAAGACCTTTTCACAGTCGATGAAATTGATGTAGATAGAGGAGTGACTGACACTCCAAGATCTGTTCAATGACGATACGTAGTAATGAGACTTGATCGACTTGTTTCCCCTGAATCCAGCCTCTTCTAGTCGAAGGTTTTCACCCAGGATAATGCAGTTTAGTATTTTTCCTGTGATAGACAGGACCATAATGCAACACCAATTCTTGCATTGACTTAAATCTCCCTTCTTTGGTAGTTTGAATATGTGGCCTTTCTTCGAATCATCAGGTACCTTCCCCTCTCTCTACACCTTCTTCAATAGTGGTGTGATCCAGTTCACTGATGTTTTTAGGTACATTTTCAATGCTTCTGAAGACCATTTAGTTAGCTCAATTGTCGTGTAACAGAGAGTATGTATGAGGGAATCACTGCTAGCGAAAAATATTAAATTTTACTTATTTGTTAGTAGAGAGAAACGAAGAATCCTGAAAAATCAAACAGAGCTACTGCCCTTGACTCAATGGTTTATTATTTAAATTCCTTCACGTTCCTAGTGGAACATTTTTACAGGATGTGGTTCCTAGCCTCATGCTCAATCTTTCCTCTTATCAGCTTTTATTTCTGGCTTAGTGAGATGAAGGAGTGCGTCCAGTGGCCGGGGATCGAACCCCGGACCATGTTTATGGTTGGCGAGCGTCTTAATTGCTGTGCCACAGACGCACGCAATGATTCAATGGTAATTCTCAGTTAATACAAATACAGAACACACATGTGAAACGGACCGGACTAGACTTCAGAATGGAGTTTTCACAGGCAGATTATCGGTGAAAAGCAGTAAATTATACAGAAATAAGAAGAAGAAGAATAGAATGGTCTATTTAACTAACATGTTTTATTGAATTCTCTATATTATAACGGAAACTATTCAAGCCTTTTGAAAGCAAGGCGGCTGATGAACAATAAAAAAGGGGTTACCGTATCTACACAAATATCCGATGTGTTAGTAAAGTTTTTCATTCGGAAACTTACTAAACGAAAACTACGCTTTATTAGTCACTCACGCTTCACTGGAATTTTCGACAGAAACATTATACAGTATAAAGTAATTTAGTTCCTTTTATAAATTTCGACAAAAACCCTAAGAAGATGTAATTTATCTGAATGGAACGTGAAATGTGTATTTGCGCAATACATTATGGACATTCTGATCACACCCACACTCACACGTAATTGTCATACATACAGTTACATAGAAGGCAAGATTTGGCATGACTTGTTACAACACAGGTCAAATTGTCTACAGTTCAAAGTCACAAATGATGGCTAGGGGGATAATGCAAGCCTATGGGTAAGACAGAAAAAATATGGAAAAGAGGGATTTAAAAATATCATTAAATAAATTAGCACCAGTAAGTACCAAAAGACGTATGACCCTGTACGCATCAGCCGCATGATAAAGGCGACTTTTACGTATAAATTACATAAATTCATGAAAATAATGAATTAAAAGTTATGCGAATGTTACACCAGATACCGAAAATACTTTTCAGTTTTAGATTGAGGTATCAAACAGAGTAATTTAATCACATTCGTTGCATGTGACAGTAACCCTGATCTTTTTTTAACCTCACCACAACGTTAACATATCCCTAAACTAATCCTGTCCTAACTCAAACCAAACATAATAACGCCCTCATTAGGTTACCCCCAACTTTAGCCTATCCTTTGGGCTAAAACCTTAACTTAATCCTTCCCAAACTTAACTTGAAACTTGCCAGATATCCCATTTAATGACATAACACTTCATTAAACATAATTTATTCATGATAACAATATTATTTGTCAGATTTCACGAACTTGCTCATTAAACATTTAAAGGTCATTGATGCGGTCGCACTCCACTGGTATTTACACTGGTGCCTAAAGTTTAGAGCAATAGCAAGTAATTTTTGGACACAGAAGACATGTTTAAGCCACTTATGGCCAAAGCTCCGACCAACTAATGTATGTATGTAACCCAACCTTGTTTTAGAATTTGTGGGTTTAAAGGCTTTATTGAAGTCAATCTTATAACCAATCTCTATGATGTGCTTCTCTATAGATGATGCTGGATTTATATTTTTTGGATCAGACAGCTCCCAAAAACTATTTTCATATATATCCTTGCTGTTTAGAGGTGATTAACAAAGTCTGACCACTAAGCAAAGACTCAAGTTGGCAATTAATATAACTTACTATGTAGCTTAACTTATCTTCATAGACAAAACGAGATCTAAGAAGTCTTGTAAGCTGTGTTACATCCCACTGTGTTTATCAGTTTACATGTATGTGTTGATGAAAGAACCATCGGTCTCTGCGGCTGAGCGCTACAGAACATATTCCAAAGTGGCTGCAACAACAAATTAAAATCATTGGATAAAAGTGATCACGAAAATACATGTCCAACGTCATCTGTGCGTCGGTGGCACAGTCAGTGGTTAGGACTCTCGCCGACCATGCACATGGTCCGAAGTTCGATCCCCTACCGACGAAGCACACCTGATATCTATGATCGG